GCATTAGTGGTCGGGAGTTTAATGTATGCTCAGATATGCACTCGGCGTGATATTTGTTTTGCTATTGGAATGTTAGGCCGATATCAAAGTAATCCCGGAATGGACCACTGGAAGGCTGCAAAGAAAGTCCTTAGGTATTTACAAGGCTCCAAGGACTACATGCTTACTTATAGGAGATCTAGTCACCTGGAAGTGGTTGACTACTCAGATTCAGACTATGCTGGATGTGTAGACTCAAGGAAATTGACCTTTGGCTATATCTTCTTGTTGGCTGGAGGTGCAATTTCATGGAAGAGCGGAAATTAGTCTATTATTGTTACGTCTACCATGGAAGCGAAATTTATGACATGCTTTGAAGCCACTATTCATGCTTTATGGCTGCGGAACTTTGTCTTAGGGCTTGGTATTGTTGACAGTATAGAAAAGCCGCTAAGAATGTAATGTGATAATTCTGCAGCCGTATTCTTCTCTAAGAATGATAAGTATTTAAAGGGAACAAAGCATATGGACTTAAAATACTTATCAATGAAAGAAGAAGTGCGGAAATAGAAATTGTCTATTGAGCATATTGGTACTGATTTAATGATAGCAGATTCGCTAACTAAGGGATTGTCCCCTAAAGCGTTTTTTGGCCATATTGGATGAATGGGCATTATAGACAAGTCCTTGATAGCATGATTGTGTGATTCACATATATGTGTATGGATTGTTTTGCTCATATTATTGTAGACATTTTTTTAGGAATTCAATAAAAGTATTGTTTCTGCTTGTTTACTTTTTATCTAAATTGTGTTAATGTACATGTATGGTTTGAGTTTGATAACAGGTTGAATGTTAAAAACACATCAGAGTTACAGTCTGTATGATTGATTAAAACTATTTTGATTTGAGTTGATTCTGTGATAAGGAACCATGTCCTTAAATGACTTATGACCGTCATGATCCGATCAACTCAAATCATTAAAAAGATGATGACTTGATATTATTAATGATATGCGCACTTATAGTTCATTGAATCTTTAAGTCGTCACATAGGCCAAGTGAGAGATTGTTAGATTATTTTAATAATCTTATTATAGCGGCCTATGTAACTTATAACATGAATCTAATTAATGATTTAATGTGATGGTGGTTAAATATAAAATATAGAGTCATTGAGGGTATAATTGTAAATATAATTATAAGGAAACCTTCCATTCTCCCTTCATATAAATAAAAGAGCTGTTACCAAATAGGAATTACGGCATTCCCTATTTTTTCACTTTCACGTTTCTAAGAGTGCTCACGGTAATTGCAAGAAAGGAACTTTCTCTCAATCCATCCGAGAGGAGCTAAAAGAGAGGAAGCAAGAGTTAGGAAAAATACTAAGGGATCAACGACATCAAAGAAAGAAGTAACATCAAGGAACAATGGATTCAGGTTAGTGCTCTCTAAACCCTTAATTGTATGAGAACTATATATTGTGTTGTGAGAAAACCAAATTCAAGATCTAATGAGAAATAGTAATTTCATAATAGTCATATCACAATGGAAATTACATAATGGATTAAGGAAAATTCTAACAAACAACTTCTGACTTTGGTATTTTCCTTGGTGAATCCATAGCTAAAATTCATTTTTATTAAACACCATGCCTCTGCTAATAATCAGCTTCTTGGTCAAAGGATTATAAAGCTTGTAAGCTTTGGGTTCTGTGCTTATCCCTCAAAAAACACACTTTACACTCTTGTCTTCTAGTTTGGTTTGGAACGTGTGCATATGCCAAGCAGCCAAATATTCTGAAATAATGAAGTGCTACTCCATACTTTTTCAGGAGTCTTATTAAGTGCACTGGATGGACTCCTATTCTGCACATGATTGCTCTATGCAATAGCTTTTGGCCAAAATGCTTTTGATAGACCAGATTTCTTCAAATATGCTTCTCACCATGTTAAGCAATGTTTTATTTTTCCTCTCCTTAACTCTATTTTGTTAAGAAGTATAAGGGGTTGTAAGCTGCCTTTTGATCCCATTTTCTTGACAAAATTTTATGAATTTAAAGGAGTTAAACTTTTCCCCTCTGTTGTTTGTAACAACCACAGTCTTAATATACCTGATTAGTAAGGATATTTAACTGTTATAAATTCCCCCATTAGTAGGGATTTGAAACAGCTCTTTGTGAGCCTATATAATCCTATTGATGGAGTACCAAAAAAGGCAGCAGCAAATCAGAAACACACCCACAAAAAACTCTTTTCTTATACTAGTGATACTGTCTTAGACACTATGATCTAAGGCTGTGAACGAATTCCGGCGAATCTAGTAGCTACCGGAGGAGGAACTACAAGTTAGCATATCAACAACTCGATCTCGCTTCCGCATTCACTAAAAGTTAGTCCTTGCATGCTTATTTTCTGACACCTCAATAAGATTGCAGCATCTTAATAGAGTTGTCAACTTCCTTTTCAACCAGCATCTTGAATCGCTTGAATAGCTCAAAAGCTTCTGATTTATTCTGAAAAAAATAGCACTATGTCTTTTGGCTAAAATTGTTAATAAATGTTATAAGGTATTGTTTACCTCCATTGGGTGTAGGATTAATAGGCCCAAAGATATCTGTGTGAACCAATTCTAGCACACGCTAAGCCCTCCAAGTTTTCCAGTTAGGAAATGCATCTTTTACTAAGAATGCAATCTTTACAAACTCCTGAAGGCAACTAAAATTTAGGAGGCCCTCTAACATCTTTTGTTGTAGTTGCTACAAACCTCCAAAGTGTAAGTGGCCATATCAATTGTGCCAAAGCCAAGCCATGTACTTTTGTACTATTGCCAAGCAATTAAGCTTTGAATTTTGCAAGTAAATAGGAAACATCCTATTGCTTGTCATTTTTGCTTATAAAATCAGTCCCAACTCATCATCTTTCACTTGACGTACTCCATTTCTTATTAAAATTCCATAGCCCTTCTCTTGTAATTGTCCAATGCTTAACAAGTTAGTTTTTGAATTTGGCACATACAAAACATTTAAGATAGGTTGTACCTGCCCTGATTTTGTTTGAATGCTAACTTTATATCTTCCTTAAACTTTAACAGTTGAATGATCACCAAACTTTACAGTGTCACTAAAAGATCATCAAGCTCAGCGAAAGCCTCCTTGTCCTCTGACATGTGATTACTGCAACCAGTGTCTAAATACCACAAGTTCTTGATAACTTTTTCTCCAGCATGACACACCATCAACAAGGAGATCTCACTTTTCTTTTCTTCTTGCTCGGCATAGTTAGATTTGTAACATCCTTGTTTCTCCGCTTTCTGCTTCTACGAATGGAGCATAGGCTGTGCTAGTTACATTGTCATGGTCAATGTAATGTGCTTTAATAGTCTCCAAGGGTAAAAGCATAAAACATATTTGGAAATTACTGAAAAACCATAACCATTGAAAATCATGGAGGTTAGATTTCAGTGGGTTGGAGGATTTTCCAGTCCGGTCTATCTTGATCCTCTACATGAATAATTTTGAATCAAAACAAGTTTTCTAATATCATCCCCCTCAAGTCCATTGATTCATGTAATGCTTTTGCTACATATAACTGTAACACAGATTATGAATTCTTGGGTACATGTGTTTTGCGAAGCAATCAATAGCTAGTTTTATAGTAATAGTGTACTTTTGCTTCTATCTGTCTTCTGTTAAACAATGCAGTTCCTGACTGAGCTTGTGTATGGTGTTTATTTTTCTCATTTGATCTGTAAAATAGAATTTGATTTAATATTTAAAATCTAGATTCCTTTAATAGTGACATGGGATGGAACAGAATTAATACCTTTGCAATGCTGTCCAACTTAGTAATTGAAATATATAAAACATTACCATTTTTACATAAACTGTTTCTCATTGCATATTTTTGCTGTAAAATAACTTCAATGCCCCTAGAGGTGTGTGATGTATATTTAATGTTCATTACGAACTACAATTGAATAATTTCCTTCTCCACCAAACTTCTTTTCAAATCAAGGAATCCAACCTGACTTACAGAAGATAAGAATAGAAGTTGGTGCTCCACTAAGTCCTCCAAAGAATCAAACTGTGGACAAGGATAAGTTCATCTGTCCAGAAAGTTTAAATAACTTTAATATTTTGCATCATTGATTTTACAACTATTTCCTAAGAGGTTCATGTGTGAACCCGTAGAATACGATTAGTTGGGCTAGATGTATAGACAAAATTTTCTCTGGGGCAATGTATATTACACACTTCTAATTATTCATCCAATTACCTGCATGGGTTGGCTGATCTGTAGGGAGCTGGTAAAACTACTCTCTTAAAGGAAATATTGAATAAATGTAAACCAAATACTGCCACCAATGAGGATATCTTTCAGAGGTTGATGTGCAAGAAGTTATTGCTTATGGTTTGTGCTATTGTGACTCCTCAGGAGTATACATGCAGGTTTTCCATTTTATTTTTGGGCCTTTTTTTTTTCTTCCTCTGTTTTCTTGATTTCCCTTGCAAAGAGTCCTCCTCTTTATTCACTTGGTTATGCTCATATAGTTATTATTATTCATAGAGAAAAATTCAGCATGTTTTTCCTCTCTTAATTATTCCCTGGTTTATGTGTTAAGTCTAGTTAAGCAGTTGAATGTCTGTTGCTTCTACTCGTTCCATTCAAAATTTGCTTTCCTACCATATTTTGTTGATGGTTTGATGTTTAGTCATAATTGATCCATTCTACTTTAATGGTATGACAATTGTCTGCATCCTTTTTGCAGTTGCTAAAGGGTTGAAATGCTTTTGAAACATTTTTGTATTCAGGAGGGTAGTACAATCTGTCTGTTAAGTAAAAATATATTTTTGAAAGAATTGTGATTACCATTTTGGTCAAAAAGAGTTTGTATGATACCAAAACTTGCTATTATTAGTGTCTTTAATACCTAAACACTAGAGCTGGATGCTACCTTTAGATTCTTGTTAGTCAAAATATGTCAAAATATTCTTATACCCAAGATATGACAAATATTGTAATTAAGCAAGTCTTTCTAGTTCATATTTATTTTTAGTTTTAAGAGCTTGGCCATTGACATGTGTAGCTTTCTGTTCATAGCGTGCTAGTTGCACATAAATAGTACAATTTGAATTGTTCAAATATATTTAGTGATGTTCAATTGCATATATTTTTATTTTTACAGGAACTCGATATGGGAGCCACTCACTTCAGGGATGAACTACGGCTTGGAATCCAAGATCTAAGTCGGAAGACAGATTTGATTGTTCTTGTTCATAACCTATCCCATATATCTCTTGGAATTCCTTGGGTTATTGCAATAACAAACAAATTTGGAGGTTAGTGAACACCATCAAAAGGCTGCAATTGATGTTGCATTGAAAAGCATGTCAAGCGTCTTCTAGCTCAACTGAAGCAATAAATTCTTACCCACGCATTACACTAGGATTTGTTGGGGCTCCTCTTTCTTTCGATGCAAGCAATACATATTCTAATAAAAGGGTGGGTGCTGAAAAGCTTATATTTTCCCCTATTAACTTTCTTAGGAGGCCTTTCCCAAAAAAGGATATTGTTCTTCCAGTAGAAGGAGTCAGCTCTCTTTGTCAACAGATCCACTGTGTATTTTGCAATAAAGAGGAATCATCATTTCAGATGGGAAAATCTTAATTTCCAGGGTATCAAATCTCATTTTTGTTTCAATAAGTCTACTAGTACGTCACTTTGTTTTGTGCATATTTCACTTGTAATGTGTTATTGTGACTTTGAAAAATGTTAGTAACACACTCTTAAACGAACTTCTTCAAACACACAAGTGTTGGTTAAATTTTTTTGAGACTCTCACTCCATATTTAACAAGTCTCAATTGTAATTTTGTAATTCTCAATAAATTTCAACTTATGATAGGAGTGTATTTGGAAAGGTCTATGCATACATAGAATAGCATACACTAGTACCAATTTAGGTGTGTAAGTGGTGACAAACAATGGTTTTATCATATTAATAATGCAATTGAAATTGACTAGGTTGCCTTGTAAATAGAGGACTGACTCAAAATTGTAAAAATGTAAAAATGAATCTCAGAAAGAATTACAAGCTCAAAGGTCAAAAACCTACGAAGAACAATAATAGACTTCTTGTAGTGAAGAATTACAGCTATAGATCAAATTTAATATAAAGAACATAATGATAGACCGTAATAACATCAATGTCCTCTCAAAAACTAAGTCTAGGTGTATGGTAGATTAGTAGACAGCATGATAGACAAAACTTGAACCTATAGACAAACTTCCTTAAGAAGAATCTTGAAGTGTTATTTTGCAAATGAAAAAACATATTATCTTATGCCATAAATAATTGAGCTTCTAATACAAATTTTATAATTAGTTTTTAATTTGAAAAATACTCTTTAATTTAATCTTATTAATATAATATAATATTTATTATTAATAATTAAAAAATTATTTATAAATTTTATTAAATCATATAATATTTAATATTTATTTAAAAGTTATACTTTTTTAATAATATTAGTGCAAAGTAAAAAACTTATTAGCATTAAACATATGATGATTAATATCCTCCGATATTGTTTATCTTTGAAACAAATGAACACTAACTCAAAAACTAGATAAAAGTATTTTACTAGCAAAGGGAATAGGCACAGTAGTTGTTGAGTTACACGTAGTTGACACTGACAGAAAAAAAACACAAAACTGTTTTTGACAGAATAGGGCATCAGTACCTTTACCGTCATTGACCACTAAGGATAATTCGTGGGATGTGTGCGATTTGTCGACTAACAGCACTTGTCTCTGTTCTACATTCTTTAAGTAAGAGGAAACAGCTCTCGACCTCAAAGATCATTAAGTTAGTAAGACGACTTATTCCTTCGGGTAGAGATGCAAAATTTCGGCAGAATGAGATTTTGATATGTTGAAGGGATGAGAGGTTGCAAATCCAATCTGGCAAAGCATTTAGCCTTTCACATCTATATAATGTAATTTGTTGCAGAGACGGAAGGCAGTTGGTGTCGTCCTTAAACCCAGTTTCAAATTCCTCTAGTCTTTCACTTTCACAGAATTGAATTTCAAGTGACTCGAGAGATGTCAGATTTTGCATCCAACCCTTTGGTAAATTCATAGGATCAGAAATCGTCAATTGTTTAAGCATGGAAAGAGGAGCAGAGGAAGATGAATCAGCTGAACATGTTGACGCTGTTGTGTTTAGTGTTGCTATTAATGGCTCCACCACAGTGCCCCATCGCAAATACAAATCCTTAACGTTTGGAAAAGTAGGTATGCAAGTCAATTTTGGACAGTCAATGACATCCAGTCGAGAAAGATGAGGAAATGAAAAAGGTAAGGAGATATCATGTGAAGTTGTAGAAGCATTGACATCATCTCCTCGCCTCTGCCATCCCTTGAGATTTGGACAACCATATGCTGTGAGGCTCTCCAAAGAGGGGAAGAAGGTTACTGCAAAACCATCTTCATAAAGATATATGTATTCCAATTTATGAAGATGGTCTATGTGAAGGGACTTCAGAGATGGGAGATGTTCCAAAGCTGGGAGACAGCGACACTTATGAAACCCATACAAAGTGATGTGAACAACATTTGTGAGGAGAGAAAGCCAGTTTGGGAAAAGCACGCCTGGGTAACCCGAAACCCCCAATTGCTTGAGATTATGGTGTGGCTGAAGGTTTTCTAACAATTGTAAGCTGTCATTGTCACCGACGTATACCTCGGGCCAACTTAGAGACAAGTATTGAAGGAATTTTTTTTCTTTTAAATTTACATCCTGTGATTCTAGAGCCACGTTTCTCACGCGATCCAGATGAATAATTCTTAATTTTCCCCTTAGGTTTAAGTCTTTCAATTCATTTAGTGTGGTTTCTGGGCTACCTCCCACAACAAAGGTCGATAAGAATTGCAGCGAGGACAATTTTCCCACACCAACTGCCATCCCACGGGAGTAGTGATCACCAATATCAAGATATCTTAAATGCTTCAATTTTCCAATTGAATCAATCAAATTGCAAAAAGAAAACGATATCTTCAAGACGCGCAAGTGTTTGAAATTAGCAACAGACAATTCCTCCCTGTTGTAAGACCACAAAATCACAGTTCGCAGCCTGCCCAGCCTGCTCGGATCTAATGATTTCAACAAATGAATGGCCTTAGATTCCAAAGATATGTGTATGGCATTACCTTCAATTTTCTCCGCCTTACTATCCAAGTAACAGCAATCATTGCCAGCAACAAGCATCGCAAGATCATGCATTAAATCATGCATTTTGAAACTTTTGATCTCACCGTATTTATCACTTTCTGCTTCTTGAAAAAATGAGTTCATCAAAAACATCTTTACAAATTGGTTACCAACATCTTCCATGCGCTGTTTTTCAGTTGAACATTGAAGGTAACCCTGTGCCATCCATAGCTGAATCAACTCATCCTTTGGAATTTCTGAATCCTTGGGATATAAAGAGCAATAAGCAAAACATTGTCTCATATCTGGCGACAAGTTTTGGTAACTGAGTTTTAGAATTGGCATGATACTAATTTGCTCCTCACATACTTTCCAGAAGTCACCACTTAAGACATTCTCCCAATCACTTACTTCATTTTGTCCTCGTAACAGGCCTCCCAGCGTTTTAACGGCTAGTGGAACCCCTTTACATTTTTTGGCTATTTCTTTCCCCATTGATTCTAAATTTTGATTCACTCCTTTGCAATCATCCTCAAATGCAATGTTCTTCAGCAAACTCCAAGATTCTTCATCGGTCAAACCTTTCAAAGGATAGGAAGTGCTGGCAGTCATTGTCTTTGCTACATTTTCATTTCGAGTTGTCACTAAAATCTTGCTATCTCGAGCGCCACACATCAAGTACTTTCTCAATTCAGCCCATTTGTCATAACTCTCATTCCAAATGTCATCCAGGACCAACAAATATTTCTTACCACTTAAATTCTTATGAAGCTCTCTTTGCAACTTCTCTAATGATTGGTCTTGTCTTTGGCTATCAATAATTATTGAATCTAATATTTTCATCAGAATAGTTTTCACATCAAAGTTATCAGAGACACACACCCACATTTGCATTTCAAAAAAATTCTGCACTTCCAAGTCATTATACACCAATTGTGCAAGAGCTGTCTTCCCCAACCCACCAAGGCCAACAATGGCAATCAAAGAAACTTTTTGGTTTTCATGAGGCTTTCTCAACAGACTAATGATCTCCTTTTTACTATCATCTCTTCCAATGATATCAGACTCTAACACAAAAGAACATGTTTCCCTCCATCCACCATCAGTTTGCTTAACCAGCATAGAACTTGGGATTAAATTCAATTTATCCATGTCTTCTACTACACAATTAAACCTTTCTCGTATTTTTATAATTTCAACCGGCATTTCATTGTATAGAGGAATTTGATTTGAAGATGAAATGGAAAGAAGTACCTTGTTCACTTCTTTTCCTTCGGCTGCACCCAATTTGTCACTCCTAAATTGCAAAGCAAGGTCATCTAAGAAGTCATCTGCAGCATGAAGTACTTCTTTGAAGTCAGATATCCAATTACGCACACGAACTTGTTCTTGTTTGTGGTCAGCGTCAAGGAGCACATCATTGATAGATCCAATTGTCTTCTTAAGCGCTTCCAACTCTTCCATCACACCATACTCCTGTCCAAATTCAAGAAATTCTGCGGACGCTAACCTGTGAATAAGATTTGATGCAACAGCAAATGGCACTGACTCAAACTTAGCCATCAGTGAAAGAGAATAATGAAGAAGGGTTGATATTGATATTCAAAGAGAGGAGCACAAATCTATGTAATGAAACGAATACGGTAAGGTAGGCCAAACTCATCCACACAATATCTATGATATTATTTTGTAACAGAATATCTATCTTTACACGTTTAATTCATTTAAATTATAAAAGATATAAATTTTTTATTTTATTTTTAGAACATTTATGTCAATCATCCTAGTTACTAAACCACACCTAACTCAACTAGAATACTACATTAGAATCACTTATTCGACCTATCAATGAAATTAATAACAAAAAAAAATATTCAATACAAACACGTAACTATAATCGTGAATACAAATATATATAATTTTCTTAGTTTTATATAAAAAATAATATAAATTAAAATTATAATAGACTCAAAATATTAGTATGCCACCAAATTTTTATATAAAATTATTTAAAATATTATTATAAACTTTAAAATTTTAAATAGACAATTTTATAAAGTATAATAATTTTTTAAGTTTAAGTTTAACTTATTTAGTTAATTAAATTTTTAAAAATTTAAATCAAATTTATTATTTAAATAGGTTAGATTGAGCTTAAACTTTAAAAAAGTTATGATAAACTCTGACAATTTAACTTATTTCTATTCTTAATCATTAAATTAATTTTCAAAATATAAATAATTTTATCCTTTTATTTCACATTTTTAGTCGACTACAAAAAAATGTGATGTCACTCAATTTTTAAAAAATTGATTTTAAAATTAAAATTTAAAAATATAGTACTAATTAGTTTATGGTCTTACTTTAAGACAGAATAGAAAAAGAGAGTTTTTTTTTTTTTTTTGTTAAAAATTGATGTAAGAATACACTTAAAAATTATAATTAAAAATAATGTGCATTTACTAGTATTTTTAATAAAAAATATCTTTCAATTTCTCAATAGCATTTTTCTTCGTCTATAAAAATGAATCTAATTGATAATTTCTATTGATTTCTATGAAAGGTTTCACGAGCACGATTTAATCTTTGAATCTGTTGAGTTGGTGACAACTTAATCTTTTTTGTTCTAACATTGATCAAATTTTTGTCCTAAATTTGTCATGATGTTATCAGATAGAGGAAATAAATTATATACAACATGCCAGCTACTTTGAAGACGAAATTATATATTTACTTTAAGACCGTGTTTGAAAAATTAGCAAACAAGTTATGTAAAATGTAAAGCTAAAAGATAATAATATAGCTGATTAAATTAAAATTATTTAACAAAATTTAAATATTTAGAGTAAATAATATATATATATATATATATATATATATATATATATATATATATAAGATGTATGCATTACGTTATTTTTTTATTTTAAAATTATATAATTTTCTCCTAAAAATTATTGAAATACATATATTGTAATTTATTTTAAGTTTTTGATTAAAACACTATTAAACATATGTTTAATAATTTTTACTAAAATACCTTTTTTTAATAAATTTTACTCTCTTTGTTTCCAATTTTTCAAAAAACTCAATGACCTTAATATATTTTTTTATAAAATACTAAATACTTGTTGTTTTTATAAGAGTTTTAAAATTTTATCTCGATATCAAATAATAAAATATTTTGTACATTTTTATTAGTGGATTTTTGAACATTATTGTGTTCCAAGCATATGTGTGTTTCTCAAGCAAAAATTACTTTCCATGTCTAGACAAAATTTGTAAACTCTTCTGCTAAATCATTTTTAATTTTAAGAAGAATAAAACTTTTATATTATTCTTTATAGGTTGTTAATATTATTTATCAATTAAAATTATAATTTTATTTTAATAAACAATTCATTAAGAATTATACCTAAAGTTTTTTTCGTAAAATTAGAACTCACCAATATATAATATAAATAGTAATAATAATAATCTGCACTCGTCTAGTTTTATTTTCAAAGTGCCTCTCTCTCTCTCTCTCTCTCTCTCTCTCTCTCAAAGTACTTCAAACAAAAGAAGGAATGTTTTTAAAGTTTAACTATGTAATATAATTTTTATGATGACCAAGTAGTCTATCAACTTGGTCGTTCTTGAAAAAATATTTTTAGAATATATGTTTTTAATAAGTTATTTTGATTCTTTATATTAAAAATAAGTTATTCAAATCATCTTTAAAATTTAGATGTGATTGCTACAATGTTTTTTTATTTTATAAGATTTTGAGGTCGTAATTATTCAAAAATTAAACATACATTAAATTTTTTACACATTAATTATGAGCCAATTTTACTCTTTTTTACCCCTTAAAAGCCAATTACATAAAATTAGCTCTTTCTATTTTTTATAAATATAAATTGTAATATAAAATATTTATGAATAATATTTTCTATAAATAAAATAATATTATTTAAAATATATTTTAATTCAAAATCAAAGAAAAACCTAAAACTTAAAAATATGGTCAAATATTTTGTTCTCCTGTTTAAAACTAATATTATAAATTTTAATTATATTTTTATATTATCTGCATTTATAAAAATATAAAATTAAAATACAATAGTTAGTATAAAATTATAAAATTGATAAAATAATATTATACAACTATAAAACGAAACGATAAAATTACAAAATATCTGTAACATGTTACTGTAATAATTAAAAACTTTAAAACCACAATAGAAATTTAAATTCATAAGTTATAATAAATCACTGATACAAAAACTAAAAATATAATGAAAAATAAGTTCTCCTGACACAGAATAATAATATCTACTGTTATTAATATTAAAATAAGTATAGTATTATTAATAATTTTTTTAAGAATATGAAAATTAAAATTTTCATATTATATCTATTTATGTTATAATATTAAAATATTATAATTTCTGATTTCTGTCTTGCATTACAATATTTAACTGTTACTTGATTTGTCTAAATATCAATATTTTTTTATTATATCATGTTTCTAAAATGTCTACATTTGTATTTTATTTATAATTATTTTATTACTTTTAAATTTTTAAAAGAATCATACAAAAGAATATTTGTTTTTATGAATTAAATATAAACTCCCTAATAATTATTAATATTTATTTGACATAAAAAATTTTAATTACTTTAAATAAAACATCAATATAATATGTTTTTATAGTATTCTATGTCTGGTGAAAAATTATTAATAAATTTATATTATTTTATTAAGTTTTCAAAAAACTGAACGAGCTTAATATATTTTTTTATAAAATAATAAACACTTGTTATAAAAGTTTCAAAAAGTTTGTCTAAGCAGCAAGCAATGAAACAAAACTAAAAAAATTTCACAATTGATGAAAACGTATAATATGTAAATAACTTACAATTTCAGCATATGAAAAAAAAAAGGTGAAGTGCAAAAATATTTTATAATTAAGACATTTAAAAAAAATTAGACTAAGTAAAAAACAAAAATAAGATAAAATTAAAAGAAATTATTTAAAAGAGGTTAATACAACATACGCATCTTTTAAGATATAAAATTAAAATGTACTCTTAATAAAATGATTATGATCATGACATTTTCTATACTAATAAAATAATTTTTAAATAATATATTAATAGATAAAAGATAACATATTCTTATTAGAATTTTAGGTATTATATTTTTTAATTTAAGATCTGATTTTATTGGAGAAAAAACATTGATTCTAAAATTTTAGACGATCTATTGTTGTTTTAAATATTAAGCGATTACATTATTTTTGCTAAAAACTAATATAATTATTATTTGTTTTGGTTTCAATTAAAATATAATTACTAGAATAGTAGAAATTACAAAATAAAGAATCGGTAAAAAACTTTAAAAACTAATTATTTTAAAAAATAAAAAGTTAAGAGAAATCTAAAATAAACAGAGATTAGAACAATAAAACAAAATAAATGATTAACAGTGTCTTTGGTACTGAGTTTATGAGTTAAAAAACGCAGTTAAACTTAACTCAGAGTAAGAATCGAAATATACGATAAATTCTATTAAAATCCAAGAAAATCTTCAGAAGCTAACCTGTGAATGAGGTTTGAAGCAACAGCAAATGGAACTGACTCAAACTTGGCCATCAGTGAAAGAGAACGATGAAGAAGGGTTGATATTGATAATCAGAGAGGAATGCAATTAATGTGTAGAAACAGTGAGGAAAGGAGCACAGATCTATATAATGAAATGAACACTGAAATAGGTCACTCTTATTCACACTTTTTCAAAAGTAAAGCGTAGCTTTTCGTAAAAAAAAAAAAAAAAAAAAAAAAAAAACAGTGCTGTATGGACCCAGGGATTAGGAAAGGTGCACAACAGACAAAAAATGAAATGAATGATTGTACGAATCTTCATCCACGCCTATTTTCAACTTTCACCATGTTTCAAATTAGTTTTTTTTTTTTTTTAAATCTATTTTACTTGCAATCTCTATCTTTGTAAATAACTATAAATTTAAATATATTTTTATTCTTTATATTTCATTAAATTTTTATTTTAATTTTTAAAATTAACTTTTTTTTTTAATTCTTATATTTTAGTAATATTTTTTTAATTTTTTCTAGCTAACATGGAGAATTGAAAACTTGAATGTGGAAATATCTTAATGAACCAAATAAATAATAAGTGTTAAAATAAAACATTTGTTAAAATATAAAGACTAAAAATATATTTAAGCCATAACTATATTATACTACTCTCTTTTAGTTAAAAATTTAAATTTAAATTTAAATATTTCTTCTCCAAGCTTTTCTTAGCTTTTGTACATTGTTATAATTTTTAATAAAATTTATTTTTTTACTATTTCCATTTTAATATAAATTGTTGACTTAAGTGTCACTATTTTGGTAAAAAAAAATTAAATTAGATAAAGAAATTATTGTGTTAAAGTTATTTTTTTTTTGCTACTAGCTAGTGTTATTCACGGATATTTTTATAGGTTAAAAAGATTAATTTAAGTGAGATGTCTTGTTAATTTTTTTTAATATAACTGGAGATGCTTAAATTGTGACAGGTTGATAATTCTAAATTTAATTAAAAATTTATAATTTTT